CCAATCCAACCACATCAAACACTGTTACCTATTAAGGCAGTTTATTCTCCTAAATTTTTTTTAAAATCGGTGGCCCGCTGACTTAGGAGTTTTTTTTTTACTGCCGATGACAATTACTTTATAAGAGTTCACTTTGTATCATTATTATTTTTATTTTCACGATAGCACTAAGTTTGTAACGACAGGGTTCCTTGGGCCTTAAATATACAAATTATTATTATTATTTAAAAAGAGGTCGTTTACATACTTGCAGGCGAAAGGCGAGCAGGCGCTGGTAATTTCGGAAAAGTAAACATACATGGCTACTCATTTGTTCCAAGTAGTATAATCGCACATGCAAACATTAATCAAGACGATGCCAATTGACACAAGCCAGTAGGTGTAAGTAAGCAAAACGAGCAGACAGAGCAAAACATTTTTTAGGCATTGCTAAGAAATTCTAGAATGTGCAATGCCACTTGTGGGCATTTAGGGAAAAACTTATCGTTCGTGGCAGAAAAGTATATGCCTGATAGGACCGGCATGCTGCTGAGAATGTTTGAGGCAGTTCAGAGAGAGCTCATCGCGGTTAATGTCTTTCTTTCAAGGGTCACACGAGGAGGAGGCCGCAGAGGCCACGAGAACATCCCGAAGAGCAGGAAATGCGATTTTGATACACCCTTGCTCTTTGCCGGTGACTGTCACTGAGGGTTGAGTCAGGATAGAGTCGGAACAGGCGAATCTTCCATCATTAGGACTCATCGGATGTCAGCTCAGCGGGCAGGCTGGGAATGAGGGCGTCTATCGATTTCTGTAGCTGTTTCGCGTAGTCTGTATACATCACTGGTTTCACCTCCACCGCTACAATCCGTAGCCTTGACTCGTCCTACAACCACAGGAGAGAAAAATACGAATGGAAAGGGTGGAGTCTTGGCAGGTGACAGGCTGAGTCATAGTTTTTCGAGGCACCTGTGAGAACTGTCAACCGAAACGTGCACCACTGCAACGCAATACATGGAATTTAAAATTGTACTTGCAATAAAACGCCCGCGGAAACTGTGATATCTTACGTTGAAATTCTCGATTTTGGCACGAAGTCGAAAAATCCATGATTTGAAAGATGCCGCCACGAAGACCCCATCTAACTGACTTTCATCCTGGAGAAAATAGAGGGTGATGAAAAGCTCAGAAATGGACAAAACGAAAGCTATAGTAGCGGGAAAAAGTTTTCAAAACAGATTTCTTTCCTACTCGTTTTTTAATGCAAATAAAGAACGGCTCAGTCCGAGAAACTTGGATATCTACAATAGCTATCTTATCCTAGTTCGTGAGCTTGCTAATAGCTCCATCATATTGATCTGTCTATTCGCGTCCGATGAGCAATAATCGACAACTGTTAAGGACAAGGATAAATGGACCAATCACATCACACCTCAGGCACCAGCGGGAGTCTGGTAGTTGGTTTTAAACCAATTGGGCGGGGAGTGTCTCTGAGTTAACCGCCCTAGCACTTTCGCTATAGGCCATGGCCCGTTAGTTTAGGTCGAAAATATGCGGGAGTCAGATTGCAGAGGAGAAATGCATCTGGGGCGTAGTTCGGTCAATCGGAAAGTGATGCCGAAAAAACGCAGCGTCCATCATACTGTTAATTTCGATCGTCAGCTGGTTTGGATGAAGTCTGGATGAATTGTACGTCCGTGTGACTTCAAGAGATCAATTTTCTACGCCATCTGCTAATCAATAAATCGAAGGTTATACAGGCTGAAGACCGACCAAGCTTGGAGACCATGGAAGCCGATAAAGAGCACCCGGCCAAAAATAAACAGAAAGAAAGGCATAACTCTTCTAAAACATAGAGGACGACCTCAAAACGAACAGTGGGTTATCACTGTTTAACATACCTGAGCATCCTTCATTGCACCCAGATCATCGGCGGTTCGTCCAAGAAGGACTTCTGCCGTTTCCTGAAAACAGGTGATCCACTGTTCACCGCTAATATCAGCAATTTTGGCCTACAGAATAAAAAAGTATACTTTGAAAAAAAGCCCCAGGGGGTAAAGTTAGGAAACTGAAGGGCGGGAACTTACGCACCATAAGAAGGAACTTCCATTTGAAGGTGGGAGTTACACGGGCGCACTTCTCACACCTGTAGAGACCATTGCCCATATCGATAACCTTCTTTTTGCAACCGTCGGTGGGACAGCCCTTATATATGAAGTTCTCCTTCTTCAGAAAGGATACTGTAGCCTGACGAAGCAAAGAAGGGCACATTGATAGAATATATTCTTCGGGAAACAGAAACAAACTTTTTTGTAAATTTTCGACACTGGCACACCAGGTCGTCTTCGGACGCGAGGGAATTGGGTGAAGAGCAGTCCAAATTTTTAAACGTGTCAAATAATTCATAATGCTGCGTCATCCGTGGTTGATAGCATGTTTTAAGATTGGTGTACATTGAATCCAACTCAACGTGCCTGTTGATGCATTAGGCGTCCGAGTTGATGGCTTCTAAAAGCTCGCGGCCTATCTTGCATGGGCAAGAGCCAACAGTGCAAGTTTCGTCCCATGCAAATTGGTGTCCAGTTTCTAATGTATGCATGGCGACTTCACATGCATATTAGAATACCGCACGGGCAATAAAGAGCATTATGACACAGTTTGAGAACGTATATCAGTGTGGGCTGTTTATTAATTAGGCAGATCAGCGAACACTTGTAGTCACTTTCGACTGCAATCGACAAAATATGGAACGTACAAGGCATGCTGTTTAATAGAAGCAGAGCAACGTAATTCTTGTCAGAAGAAATGAACGAAAAAGTCATTATAATTTTAGCGTCAGCTACAAACGGACTGGCTACGGAAACAAAAACTGGACCTGCTAAGAATAGCATGCTGGTATAAGACAAATCTATCGATTGGTGTTACTCTTTACTTTACGGAGTGTCCATGGGTAACAGGAGGAAGTGAAACGACATTTAAGATTGATCTACAAGGTACCACCAAATTATCCAAAGTCCCTGGGTCAGTACCTGCTAGCAACAGCAGAAGCGACCGCTATCAGGTTGATGAGGCCGGCGTTATGTGCGCAAAAGAACTTCGTGCAAGCTCCACATCTGGCGTGGCCCACAGTCACTTAGCAGCATGCACTCATCCGCGCTCTGATTGTCTCCCGCTTGTAAGAAAAGACGAATATTATTAACCACTCGTTTAAATTTTACCCATCCCGTATAGATGTATTGGCCTAAGGCGAATTTATCGAAAATGCCAAACCAGTCTTTTGAAATGACATGTGCCGTGAAATAAGCCGCCATGGAGCATCCACGACGTTGACAACCGAGCGCAGAGTGCTGAAGTCCGACATGCCGGTTGCTGTATCAAATAGAGCTGGACAGTCCACGACAGCCTGCTTATTTTAAGGCTAGTATTCAGTAAAGGTCATTCAACTCTCACCAATATGTGGATACATCACTATCAGAACTGCTGACTATTCGGCACCAACGAATGCTTCCATTGAAATGAACAGGCCCTTGTGCTTGGTAACAGCAATGCTTCCGGGCGCAGGGAGCACACTAACTGTGGCTAATTTTCCAACACCACAGACCAAAATTCTGGGCTCGGTATGTGGACGACAACTGCATCGTAATTGAGAGGGATGAGGTGTTGACTTTCAAGGGACGTCTAAATGGCGTCTTTCTGGACATTCAATTTAGAACGGAAGAAAAATAAAACAACTTGCTTGCCTTCCTGGATGTCCTTGTTTGCCGAAAAGACCATGGTGGCCTAACAACTAAACTCTATACAAATCCTGAACCTCAACTACATCAACCACCCGATGGGTTACAAAGGCAACTGCGTAAGAGCGTTATACAGGCTCGTTGAGACGCATTGCAGTGAAGTGGAAGACAAAGGTGCTGAGTCAAAATATCTTAGACGGCTACTGAGAGCGAATGGTTACACGCGTAATTTTGTCAACCAGTGCATACGCAGACAAGACAAGAAACCAAACCCAACTGGCCCAAACGTTTGGCAAGTTCTTCCGTACGTGGAGAATGTATCGGAGGCACTCAGCAGATTCGCCACACGTGGGAGTTTGCTTACTTTATGGCTAGTTTTCACCAAGTTGCGGCTTCATTATTAGCCTGCTCGGCACCAACGAATGCTGCCTTTGAAATGAGCAGGCCCTTGTGCCTGGTAATAACAGTGATTCCGGGCGCAGAGGGCAAACCAACTGTCAGCGATATTGTGACT